AATGCACATTTTCTAAAATGTTAAGTCTTTGATAAAAACAAATTTAAAAAAAAATATAAATTTCATTTTAAGATGCAAAATACATTTTTTTTTCAATGCTGCAGCAATTATACAGATGTGAAATTGTTCCTTCCTCAGAGGTGTCAGTCCCTTAAAATTCTTCTACTAATACTTTCTTTGCAACCATGAAATTTAGAAAAGTCTGCGACTCTCTTCTGGTGTGTTCTACTAATAAAATGCAGAAGTTGATAAATGTTCAAATCCTCACTTCGCTTTGAGTCTACTTAATGCTAATTAAAAAGAATCATGACAAGTGGAGGATTAGTTCTTGTGCCAGATTGGGAATTATTAGTCTTTATAATAGGTTGGAAAGCTTCACTGTTTAATAAATACACGACATACTGAAGTATCTTAGTCCGTATGATACTGATTACGGTATGAGTGTTTCTTTAAGATGGCATCTATCTTTCCATTAAGAATTCTGGATTTACGGAATCTGCCAAGGATTTTGTTTTAAACTCTGGAAAATTGATAGGAGGAATTCCGTGTTGTAGGTTCTGCATGGTGAAACACTGCAGATATTGTTGCAGCACTGAAATTTTTGTCTTTTCCTTTTGATTTAAGGTGGAAGGAGAAAGGAGATTGAGTGTACTTTTGCATCAGGCTTATTCTTAAAAATCTTACTGTTGTGATGTGAAGAGCTGGAATGTGTAACTCTTGAACATTACTTTTCTATCTTTGTTAATAGAATTATGACAACTATTTTAGTATGCTTCATTGATTTAAAAATAGTCTTAAATCTTGGAGTTAAAGATCGGTTTCTCATGACTATTTTTAGTGAATTAACTTGAAATTAATGATTGAACAGATTTGTACTCTGCATTCTGTAGATTTTTAGTATCTTGCAGTACATCCCTTAAATAAGAGCTTATATTTTGAAATGTGAGATTTTTACTAAACAAAGCCCTGAAACATAATAAAACAGATGAAGTCACCTGGTTTTCTTATATCAGCTGATGCTATGGCAGGTAATAAATTGGATGTGTGAAATAAATGCTAGGTAAAGCTTCTGTAGAATTGATGAGAGTCAGCCTGCCTTTATAAAGTAACTGGGTTTTGTCTGGTAAAGTGGTTGTTAGTGTTGGCAGTGGTTCTGCGCAGTAAACCATTTTGTTTAATTTGATGGAAATAAAGAAAATTTGATGGTATGTGTGTAAATTGCCGTTAGTTATGCTGCTTTCCTCAGGATGCTCAGTAAGCACGTGGAATGCGAGCCCCAGCTCACTACAGAGGAAGCTGATACAGGGAGCTATAAGGGGACTCAGGGACAATATAAATCAGAATAAGAATTAGAAGTTTACGGCACACAGAATTGCCCGTGGTCTGGTTTTAGTGCAGGCTTTTTCACGCATATTTTTCTTGCAGCAGTGACTACTGGAGTCATATTGAATTTCTTTTTTTAAAAAAAAACACACCCCAACATAACTGACAATCTTCACGATTCAAAGAAAAGCTAGAAAGTAAAATTGGTGAGTAGTATGTGAATACAGATGAAAACAATAGTGGTTTATTTTAATTTCTTTATTTTTTAGTCAGTCTTATCACTCCTAGGAAACACGGATCTGAGTACTTCAGATCTACTGAACACCTATGTGTGTGTCTCTTGGCAAAGCATTCGCAATATGTGTATTATAATTTTATTTATTTATGTGATTGTAAATTTTTAGTAATTACTTTAAAAAAACCTCTACATTCTCATTGACTTCTTTCCAGTGGTTTCGAAGAGACTTTCAAAAACTCTGTGCTACTGTACAACATTTTGTTGATCCTTTGAATGTCAGCACTGTTTTGAGTGTCTGAGCATCTTTTTTGTAAACTAAAAAATTATCTGTAAATAAACTGACTTACCCTGGCATTTTGAAGATCTGTTTAAGGGTGAAGGGAGTGCAGATTTCAAGCCCAGATGTTGCTTTCTTTTTGATGATAAGGAAGGTGAATAAAAAAGGAAGTTTTAAATTCTGCTTTTCACAAATAAGAAAGAAAAAGTATGATTTTGAAGAAATATTGTGGGATTTGATGCAGTTTAGAAGCAAATAAATCTTATCAATATATATGTAAATAATTTTATTCCTGAGTGCAACCATCAGAACGTGTTAATTATTTTAATCCTTTTATGCTCATTATTTCATTACGTTAGATAATGTGTTATAGGTAAACATCACTTTATATTTGTGACTAGAAATAGTTGTAGCTTTTCATAAATTCATGTCTTGAGGTTGCAGTGATTTACATTACTTGGGAGTGCTGTGGTTAAGAAGTAAAGCAACCATGGAGAAAATGTGTTTCCGGACTCTTTTGGAGGACTTAGTTGCATGCGATGGAAGGAGTCGTGTTAGAAACGAACAAGGAGGGTGACTTCTGTCGGCTGTTCCCGTCTGGCTTTGCAAATTAAGTTGTCAGATGCATTGCTTGATTTTATATGTTAAAACAGATGGTTTCGGTTCTCAAGCAGTTTAGTTTGGATCAGTTCAGTCTCTTGATTTTTTTTTTCCTTTAAGGTTTGAAAATAACAGCTGAATTTTTAATTTAAAAGCTGCATTTTAAAGTAGGTAGTCTGTCACCTGAAAAAATCCTCCTCTCTTCCTCAGCTGTACCTGTGTGATGCTCTGCTTTGGCTGCGCGCGCCGTTATCCCCACTGTCCCTTGGTGGGTGTTTGGGGCTCAGTGGGCAGGTCAGGGGCTGGGGGTGGGAGTTTAACCCTGCCCCGGTGTTCCCACCATAGCAAGGGCTGTGACCTGCTTTACGAAATGCTTTGAGACCACTTCATAAAATTTAATAGAGAGCAATGGTTTGGGTCTTCTTGTTTTGTTTTGTTTTGTTTTGTTTTGTTTTGTTTTGTTTTGTTTTGTTTTGTTTTGTTTTGTTTTGTTTTGTTTTGTTTTGTTTTGTTTTGTTTTGTTTTGTTTTGTTTTGTTTTGTTTTGTTTTGTTTTGTTTTGTTTTGTTTTTTCTGTTCAGTAGCAGTAGCAATATGATAAGCGTGTGGGTTTATTCTTTTTATATTTAAAAAAATAAGTTTAATTACACTGTTATTTTTATTTTTAAAACTCAAAAATAAAATAAACAGTGTGTATTTTTGTTATAGTGATAAATGTGGTCAGCAGTTAACATGTCCCGAGTCGGTTATAGCTTTTAGCCAAATGTCTCCCGGTAAAAGCCGAAGGATGGATGTAACGTCACAGGTTGCAGTTTGCCAAAGCAGCGGTGGGGAACGGGGTGGCTGTGGGTAGAGCCACCATCCTGCCTGTGGCCTGGTTTGTCCCTTGGTCGTTCTGATGAATTTAAGCAGAAGAGTGAAATATTTTTTCCTCACTTGAGTCATTTTCACTGAATTTTCGTTGATTATATGTTTGTGCGGAAGGTGAAGGGGATGAACTCAAAGGAAAGGATAAACGCAGAGTTGGTGTTAAAAGCCTTTCTAGCTACACTGTTTTGGTAGCTTGAACTAGTTTACTTAAATGCTACTCCCCTCTTCTTCCAGATTTGAACATTTTTTGAACAAATTTGAACAATTGTTCAAATAATGAACAAAGAGTAAGAAATTATTTAATAAAATAGTTATGTTTAAAATACTGTAAAAATGCGTGAACTCTTTTGGGGTATATGTTAGTGTGATCTTAGGAAGGTACATCATGAAGAAAGTAATTTCAGAGGTATCTTAAATTCAAATATTAAAGTCGTTTAAGGTTTTGTTGAAGAGTTGTCCGTTCCTGTGCTGTCAAGCTCTCTGCAAGGTGATACCCAACGCATAACCTCTCTACAGGGTATGAAATGGGATGAGGGGAACGAGCAGTGGGACTTGGTTCCCACAAGTATGTGTGTGTGTGTGCAGGCAGACACATCACACACAGCAGACCCCTGTCTTCTCCTGTCTGACGACGGCCGTTGTGATCCCCCAGGAGGATGGGGGGTTACAGGCAAGGCAGGAGACTGATGGCGTTTGCTCTTTGAGGCATGTTATGTTGGAATTTGGTTTTGCTTTCATTCTGTCAGATTCCTGATCTGATGAGTTTCAGGCTGGCTGAGGTGTGGTTCTGTTTGCTCCAAACTCCGTCAGGCCGCTGGGAGGACGTCCATTGTTTTGAATTACACCTCAAGTGTGTCTTGATTCACAACTCCTAGAGGGCTGAAAACTGCTTTTAGAGAACCATAAGCAACATACTTCAGAAACTGGAATGTTGGATTGAAGTACAGAATAATAAACTATTAAAATTCTGTGTATCTTTTCTCCTGGTGGTCTGTAACAACTTTTATGGAGTTCAAAAATTAAATACGTTACAATTCTTATAACTTTTTTTTATATTGTTTATGTTGAAATACATTTTCCAGTCACATATCAAAGCACTGCTCAGTTTTGCCATTGAAATGGCTGCTTTATATTCCCTTTACGTTGAAGAGCCTACTTTGTGCTCCAAGAACGATGAGAAACTTGTTTATGAAATTGGTGTGTATTCAACATTAATTAAAGATGGCATTCAGCTTTCCAACAAGAATCTTTAAAGATGGCTCAAAGCCATATTTATACAGTGGCAACCAAGATGCATCTGTGAGATTCTGTGGGACTCAGTCACCGTCTCTCCGCTCGGATTCACGATCTCTCATGGATCTGGTGAATGACAAGGTGGGGGTCTTTGGAAGGGCTGAAGATTAGCATCCCCTGCTGTTTTGTAATTATCAGAATCTGGACAGTCATTTATTTGAATGAAATAATGCATACAGTTTGTGCCTCCAAAGAAAAGCATACATAATGTGATTGTAAGAAGAGGTTTTCAATCTCTCAGTGGGATGTCATAGGGTATGTTTATAAACTTCAGCCTAGCTGTTGCTCTGCATTGGAATTCCACTGGTATTGAGATAATAATTTGCACAGTCAAATTGCTTTCTTTACAAAAACCCAGGGAATTATGAGACCCTAATCCTTTATTAATGTCAACCCATAGGCAGCAAGAAAGCGTAAGATTGCCATTCGAAAAGCCCAGGGGAAAAATCTTGAGGCCATCCGAGAGCTGAATGAGTATCTGGAACAGTGAGTGTCTTACAAGAATACGGATTGTGTTTTGCTATTCTGATAAATCTTTTTAATTAAAATGGAATTTGCATTTGATTTACGCTTTTGCTTCCATGCTGGTCGTTTACAGAATCCCTTGCACATTCTTTCTTTTTTCCTTTTTTCCTCTCTTGTCTTCTCTATACAGATTTGTTGGAGACCAAGAAGCTTGGCATGAACTTGCAGAACTTTACATCAATGAACATGAGTAAGTTGTTTGCTAAGTCCACATAAAAACGGTTAAATTGAAACCTTCTCTGTGTAAGTCAAAGACCTTGGTGGTTTTTTTTTTTTTTTGAAGGACTAGTGTTAGAAAGTATGCTGTCTCATTTCCAATATAACAAGCATCAACAGGAAATAATTACCAACCTTATTTGACTACCAAATGCTTTAAGGTGGCATTTTATTTTAAATAGAAATGGTTTACTTAATTACATGTATGTTTCAGTTATTTTTTTGAATCATTATTATAAAAGAAGTGGTTTGAGTGTAACAGGGAACAGCACTTATTTCCCATAATTTTTTGTTCAAGTGATGTCCTTTACTAGTTATAGATTTAAAATTCTTTACTTCTAAAATCAGTTGATCACGGCAGCTGATATTCTGATTTTCTTTTAGCCTCTGCAAGAACTTTTGCTAACCTTTAAAAAAAAACAAAACAAAACATGAATCTCGAGTTAGAGGCATTTGGTCGCCTGGGTACAAAACCCAATGCAATCAAGAATGCTGAATGTTGTATTAACTTGCTTATTGGATATTTAATGTTTTTGTTAGCTTTTTTTTATTGCTGTAGTGACAGGAGGAAATCCCAGTGTGAGAGGATTAGCTCAAAGCCTTAGTGCAAGTTTTCTAATATCACAGCATTAATTCTAACCTCCACCCAAAGGCATATCCTTTTCCCCCTCCTTGTTTAGTTCTTTAGCCCAGCCTGAACTATATATCACATTGTTTCCTTCTTTTCTAGAGAGGAGTAAAAGAGTCATTCTCAAGGAAGAAATAGCCATTTTCACTGGGATGAAAAAGTAGTTCTCCCATCACCTCTCCTTCCACCCCATTCTCAAATAAAATAATTATTAAACTCTTTCAAACACTTCCTTAAGGAATAATCTAGAATTTTCATATCTAGATTTCTGTTTGTTTTGGGAAATTCACCAGCTGGTTTTCCAAGAAAACAGCTATTTATTTTTTTTAATAGTTAGAAAGATATTTAAACTTGCCAAATCTGGTGGTACAAAAGTGAATGATAAACGATAGAGTGGTGCAAACATACGTATTGCACTGTTGGTTGTTGGTTTTTTTTATTTTTCTATAATCTTTATTAGAAAATTATGTAATAAAACCTGAGAAATAAATTTATTTTCCTTATATTTGTCTTGGTTTGTTATTCCAATAAAAAATAATACGTAGAATTCTCTCCAGTTCGTTGAAAAAAATTGACTTTGCTCACTCTATGTCTATGAGCATCGTTGCTGTTATCATTTTGATGAAAAAATTGAAATATTGGGAAAAAAATTGGGGTCTTGGCTAAAAAGCAACTAAAAGTTGATTTTTAAAAAAGGAAAGAATTCGTCAATTTTTCTTGTTTTACCAGTGTTGCAAATTTAGTCTGGCTTGGGAAATCACCAAGCTGTTACCATTGTTCATAAACACACTTAGATGTACGAGGTTCATGTAGTCCTTAATTCAGCGCTCTATTCCATTAGGAGGATTGTGGCTTCTGCTTTAGGAGAATGAGGTGGCTATCCTTTTATCTCCAAATTAGTATTTGAAATGCATATGCAACTGTCATAACATGAACAGGAAAAAACCACAATATATTCATTTTAAGAGATAAGATTTAATAGATTAAATGGTTTAATATTGTTTCATAATTGCTAAATTGCTTTTACTGTGATCTTAAGAATTTTCCCACGTTGTCATTATAAGCATTGTGTCTCTAAATTTTGGAATCCTGTCATATAAACTCCTTGCAATGGTGCTGTCACCTACCTGTAGAAGCAGCAAATTCTGCAGGAATCTCTGCTAGTTGAAAGATTATGAAGCTAAGATTTTTATAATTACATAAACCTACATTTTAAGCTTGACTTCATAATTCTTTCTGAAAGCTTCCATTTAAGAACCTTTTCTTTTGCAATGATAAGCTGTTGCCCATCTGGACTGGTCTGATGCTGTTTTCATGCACAGATTTGAACTGTTTGATTTTTAGACCTGTTCTTAGTATGGTTTTTCAGTCTCACGTCTGTGATGGACTGTGAGCAGGTAACGGTGACAGTGTAAATGCTCTGGTCTGGAGCTTGGTTTGTGAATCCCCAGGTAGCTGAATTTTCGTGTAGAAAAAAATGAACTATTTTTTAGTCTGAGTTCAAATGCCTTATAGCGCCTAATGCCTGTTTCTACTCTTGTTTATCAGAAATGTCACCTATTAATAAGAAATGAATATATTAAATGCTTTACATGCTATACATGCTTCTGTATGTACCTAGACTATTAAATTTTGTATACTTTTCACTTTCTATGATGTAAAAATAGTAACTTGAGGTTTCAAACATTTAAAAACAAAACATTTTCTTAATTGTGAATCACATGAATTTATAGGGGGGAGAGTAAGACTCTATATTGTGATATGAGGAAACTGAAGCAAAGAACTGTATACTCTGTTTCATTTGTCACTGTTTTTTATATTCCTCAGCTATGCAAAGGCAGCCTTCTGCTTAGAGGAGCTTATGATGACTAATCCACACAACCACTTATACTGTCAGCAATATGCTGAAGTAAGTATTTTCAGAAAAATCAATTATGTTTAATACATATTCAGTTCTTATGTTACTGAGGTGGTGAAAATGGCATAAAAATGGTTTCTGTAATTTTTCCCTAGGAGATTTAAGAGAGTACACAGAGAATGTTAACATCTCATAGAAATTAACATGTTAAGAAAATGTGTTTTCTTACTCAAATCAACTAAGCTAAATATAAGAGTAAAGGCAGAAATTATTGGAGATAAAAATTCATTTTAAATGAGCTATTCTTGTTGAAGTGTTTATGCACTTTTTAAATTAAGTGCATGAGAAGTTAAACTTCTTCACAACAATGCTGCCCAAAAGGTAATGATATATTGCCTGTTATCCTAGAGCCAGATCTTGGAGTCCAGAGTCTTGGAGTTAGGACATTTTTCGTGAAAGAGCACAAGGGGTAGAGGGCCCTTAGAAGTTTTAGCTCCAAGTTTTTAGCCATTTGCACTCTTTTTTTTCAGATCATCTTTTTTTTTTTTTTTTTTTTTTTTTACCTAAATGATACTGATAACTGCTTAAAGTACATTTAATTTATTTTTTTCTTGGATAAAATGTGGTTCACATAAAAATTTGAGAGTCTAAATATCTTTCTGGTAGACTGTGAAGCATGTCTTCTAGTATTTATCCCTCTTTTTGTTGATCTTGTAACAGGCAAAATGAATAGAAAGACAATGGAGTAATCTTCTAAACTTTGCACACTATTTTGCAGTTGAATAGGTAATGAAAGTCATTGAGTTGTTTTGTGCACTGGTGTAATGCTGTGCTGAAGGAATACAGAGTTAGTATGGTTTTATAGCAGTCAGAATTTAGCTTTAGATTTAAAGTTTGTGTTGCTTTTCTTAAGAGACTCTCCCCAGCTTCTAAGTATGTATAGGTGCAAAATAATCACTTTTCATTCTTGTAGCAAAAAAATAATTAAATACTGGCTTTTTTTTTCTCCTACAGTTAAATATTTTAAAATTTTTATATTGAAAGGAACGTGGATTTCTCCCAAGCCAGTATTTGGCATTTGGTAGGACTCACCTGATTTGAAATATCATGTGAAACAAACCTGAAGTGAAGTTTCATAATATCTTTGCTTTAAGAGTGAATGCCTGAGGTATGGATGACACGTGCAAGTTTCAGGAGCTTATAATTTTTGCAGGTTAAATACACTCAAGGGGGGCTTGAAAACCTTGAGCTATCAAGAAAGTATTTTGCACAAGCACTGAAGCTTAACAACAGAAATATGAGAGCTTTGTTTGGACTATACATGGTAAGCATGATTGTATATTTTCCATGTTATCATTTTGCATATGTTTTTATGCACAAATATTATCCTTTATCATTTGCTAATTTTTTTTCCTTTTGGTTTAACTTAATAGCTCAGATTATTGAGTTTTAAAATACTGAGTATGTTGAGCTTTAATTGGAAAAAACAATTGTTTGAAAAGCTTAGCTAATTCTTTATTGGATGCTGTTTACCAGTAACTTCTTTTTTTTTCCTCTTTTTCCTCTGCGACTGTGTGGTGCGCTGAACGCAAAGGTGCTGAATGCTCTCAGTTTATTTCGTGCACAAATCTTTTATAGTTACACTGTTTTATTTTTGTATTCCTAGTCTGCCAGCCATATTGCTTCCAATCCAAAAGCAAGTGCAAAAATGAAAAAGGATAATATGAAATATGCCAGCTGGGCAGCTAACCAAATAAACAGAGCATACCAGGTTAGTGCATCATTGTTTTATGATACTCTTAACACGCTGCATAGTTCTTTTCTGTACTTTTATCAACTGCTGTTCAGAAGGTTAGGTAAGTCTTGCAGATCAGCATAATTTGCTTAGATATTTTGTGTTCTCTTTGATTTCCTGGAAACCTCAATTAATATAAGGTTGATATTTCACAGTTATTAATTACTATTATTTACTTATTAGCTTTAAACAGATTTTTTTTCTAGTAACGTTAACTGAATGTACACTAGTGTAATGTTGACCTCCAAGACTCAGTTCCACAGCTAAGTATTTTAAAGCTTGGTGTGTCTTAATTCTCAGAATGGTCATGAGAGACATGGTCATCTACTTCTATTTTACCAGAAAACAAATGAAAATTCTAGAGGTTTATTTTCCTTCAATTTATTCTGACCTTTCAAAGTCATATTTAATGGTGTTCCTAATAATTACCCTAGTAATTGTTACTGAAGTTGCTTTTGTATAGTTTTATAGATAAATTTCCATTGAATTGTGAAAATGTAGACTTTGTAGGCCAGAATCAAAGCTTACTGAGCTCATTAGGAGTCTTTTCAGCTACTTGAAAAGTTATACATAAACATCTATATTTGCATTTGTATTATAAGCCTCTATATTTTTTCTATAACTGTGAATGTAAGCAGGTTTTAGCCCATAGGTGCTGCTGTCCCTGCATCCCAAATACAGTGTTTCTGTTTGACTCCCGAATAGCTGTTCTTAATGATCTGCCAGTGACAGCTTATGTATAAGTAATCCTGACCATCAACACCATACTGTCTGGTTCTCCCCAGAACTTTTTTCTGAGCAAAAATGTTGGTATTAAATGCAAAGACTATATGCACATGTAACACTCCTTTCTCTTTGTAATATTTCAGTGTCAGAACCCAATATTTAATTTTTATCTTGCTGCTGCTGTTTCACAGTTAATGCTGCCAAATGGCTTTTTGAGCAGCTCAGTCTATTAAGGAATTAAATTGGGATTTTCTTTCATAGCCAATGCAGTTTTTGTAATACACTGTATTTCAGTTCATTGCCGAGAGTGCAGCTTCTTGTGGCTGACTTGTGTTTGATGTATTACAACTTTGAAGTATTTTCCATTTCCCCTGATTGGCCTTGTAGCTTCTGACTGTACTTTACAGTGAAGAATATTGTATCCCTGAGGACATAATTAGCCATTTTATACCTGTGTGCCTGAAGTTTTCCTTCTGTTTTGCTGTTTAAATGACTCCCTGCTTTTCATTAATAAACCATTTACATGCTCATGACAGTGAGGTGTGTATGAATTACCATCCAATTTCCCATAAATAAGCAGGATTTCAGTATATCTAACATTCCTGTAAGCATTGTATTGATAGAAAACCCAAGTACTGCAGGATTTTTAAAAAAAATTAAACAAAAATCCTCCAAAACCCCTCAAAGAACAGAATGCACCATTAATTGATTCACCATTAATGGAGTAAAACAGGTTTTAAAGATGTGTGAATTTTGAATGAAAACTTTTTTTCAATGTTTTACATCTTAATAAAATGAACTGCATAGATTAGAGGGGTTTTGAACGCATTCTTTAACTGAATATTACGACGGAAGTTTCCAGTTCAAAGCACCAGTAGAGACCAGTTAGCACTTCTGGGAAACAGCCCCTTTCGGGGTGCATCAGGATGGAAATGTAAAGCCAGTGTTGGCTGTGGAATGGTGGCACTCCAAGATTAAGACCTAGAAATGGGTATCTCCTGGTTCTAAATATAATGAAAGTTTGATTGTTACAGTTTGTAGTTGACTCACAGCCAGATAAGCTTGCCTTTTTTTTTTTTTCTTTCTTCTCTCCACATGGCTTTCTGTTAATGTCACAGTGTCTCTTAACAAAATCTGCCTTGTGTTAGGGCAGGGGTAGGGTTCTAGGGGGGTTCATGTGTGTCTGGGGCGCGCTTTTTTTGTTGCTTTTTTTGTCTGATTTTTGGTTGATTTTTTTTTTTTTTAACCTGTGTGGTGGGTTGCTGCTGGCTGGATGCCAGGAACCCACCAAAGCCGCTCCATCGCTCCATCCCCAGCTGGACAGGGGAGAGAAAATACAACAAAAGGCTCCTGGGTTGAGATAAGGTCAGGGAGATCATTCAGCAATTACTGTCACGGACAAAACAAACTCTAATTGGGAAAATTTATTTAGTTTGTTACCAGTCAAAATTAGAGTAGGGTAATGAGAAATTAAAATTAAATCTTAAAACATCTTCCCCCAACTCCTCTCTTCCTCCTGGGCCCAGCTTCTCTCCTGATTGCTTTCCCTTGCCCCCCAAGCAGTGCAGGGGACAGGAGTGGGGGTTGCAGTCAGAGACACGCTGCCTCTGCTGCTCCTTCCTCCTCATGGCCAGGACTCCTCACACTTTTCTCCTGCTCCAGCGTGGGGTCCTTCCCATGGGAGACAGTCTTCCATGAACTTCTCCAACGTGAGTCCTTCCCCTGGGCTCCAGTTCTTCATGAACTGCTCCAGATGGGGTCCTTTCCACGGCATGCAGTCCTTCAGGAACAGACTGCTCCAGTGCGAGTCCCCAAATGGGATCACAAGTCCTGCCAGTAAACCTTCTCCAGCGTGGGTTCATCTCTCCACGGGTCCTGCCAGGAACCTGCTCTAGTGCAGGTTTCCCACAGGGTCACAGCCTCCTTCAGCATCCACCTGCTCCATGGGCTGCAGGTGGATATCTGCTCCAGAGTCCCCAAATGGGATCACAAGTCCTGCCAGTAAACCTTCTCCAGCGTGGGTTCATCTCTCCACGGGTCCTGCCAGGAACCTGCTCTAGTGCAGGTTTCCCACAGGGTCACAGCCTCCTTCAGCCTGGGCTCCAGTTCTTCATGAACTGCTCCAGATGGGGTCCTTTCCACGGCATGCAGTCCTTCAGGAACAGACTGCTCCAGTGCGAGTCCCCAAATGGGATCACAAGTCCTGCCAGTAAACCTTCTCCAGCGTGGGTTCATCTCTCCACGGGTCCTGCCAGGAACCTGCTCTAGTGCAGGTTTCCCACAGGGTCACAGCCTCCTTCAGCATCCACCTGCTCCATGGGCTGCAGGTGGATATCTGCTCCACCATGGGCTGGAGGGGACAGCCTGCCTCATCATGGTCTTCACCAGGGGCTGCAGGGGAATCTCTGCTCCAGTGCCTGGAGCACCTTCTCCCCCTCCATTTTCACTGTCCGTGGGGTCTGCAGAGTTGTTTTTCTCACATACTCTCACTTCTCTCTCCGCTGCTGCTGCGCTGCAGGTTTTTCCCCCATTTCTTAAGTATATTATCCCAAAGGCACTAGCACCAGCACTGATGGGTTTGGCTTTGACCAGTGGCAGGTCCATCTTGGAGCTGTTTGGCATCGGCTCTATTTATCTCAGACGTGGGGGAAGCTTCTAGCAGCTTCTCACAGAAGCCACCCCCTGTAGCCTCCCCACTACCAAAGTGCAATTCCACTGTTTCTGTGAAGCTCTTCTGGAACCTACATTGTTTTTGGTTGATGCTTACCAGAACAGATCACGTTAACACAACTAACACATATTTAAAACACATGTCATAACTTCTTTGTGACTTCATACTTTTGTGATACGTTGCATTCTTCAGCTGCTCTTTTTAGCTGTTTGGGACATAAAGTGATGAACGCCATATCTGACTGGAATCCTAGGGGGAATTTAGCTGTACAGAAAATGTAAGTGCTCAAGGTAGGATTTGGGAGGCAAATGGCATGAACACCCCCTTCCTCTTCACAGAAGCACGACAAGAACCTCTAACGACTACAGCTGGCCAGGACTGCCCCAGCCCAGCCCTACCGAGCCTGTTACAGGACTGCAGAAGGGTTTGGCCACTCCAGTGTTTATGTCAGAGACTTAGAGCATCCAACTGCTACAGCAAATGGTGTTTGGTGATGTAGTAGGTGGCAGCTTCCCCTCTGAGTCAGAATTGATTTGTTGCTCCCTTAGTGTGCTGAGCGGTTGGAAATTGTTGTCTTTTGGACCTAAGGATGAAACCTCGGTCGCTTGTGCCAGTGGCAGCCCTTACAGCATTCCTGCCTTAGCGGAGGGTCGTCTAGCCAGGATTTAAGCTAGATGCTTATATTATCTCTATAAATCCTCTCCACTTTCCTTGCGTTATCCAGGGTGCTTTGTAAAGTTGCAGTAAGAGCTTGTTGAGTTTGGCATTGACTTGTTTTATTAGTTACTATTAAATGCAGTTTTTCCTGTAGTCATGTTCTAGAGAATAAGATGCATTTAGAATACTGACTTGGGTGCCTAGACAAATTACATAAATTTGTGACTTTAATATATGAAGTTATTAATTCAAAAAGTTACTTTTGAGCAGTTGTCTTAACGGTGAGATCTTTCTCCATTTTCAGTCTGGATTTAAAATTGAATTACCAGCAGTTTGCTCGGTAATTTTGGAAAATTGCCTTTATTTTTTCAAATTCAGCACTGGCTGCAGTTGCATTTTTTTTATTATTATTATTTTATATGCAATTTACTTGAAATATTTTTACTGGTTCCCTTCTTTCAATTTCTTCTCTCATTCAGGCAGTTTGCTTTGGCACTTGATTTTTGCTTTTCCTGTGCATTCCTGTATGAAATCAGAGGAACTTTTTAGTTTATTGTCATTTAAAGAAAACAATATTTGGGTGCAAAAAGAAAACCTTACTTTCACCAGTGTTGTTTAGACAGTACAGCAGTGTCTTTACAGGAAAATATGGTGACAAAGAATAGTTGAATTAAATAATTTTCTGAAAAGTACAGAAATTTGATGTTCCATCTGGTTAATATACTTATTTTGATGTTAAATATGTAACCCTCTGTGCTGATTAGTACTTCTCATCTGTGCCTAATCTAGGAGAAATGTAAACTTTCAAAGGAAGACAGAAAGGTTTTGTAGTTAGGGCTGCTGCGTGGAGCTGGAATTCCTGGCTGCTAACATATGCTCTGAAAAAAAAGAAGGTCATTATTCTCTAGGCCACTTAAATCTAATTGACTGGGTGAAAAAACAAAACAAATAAAATTTAATCTTTCTTTTCAGATGTTAGGGAAGTACTCGTTATTCAAAGAATTATTATAAGTTTATTATTATTATTACAAGCTTAGTTTTCTCTTATCACTGGGGAACTGGATTATCCTCTCTGTGCAGACCCTGTGAAGAATGTGTGTCTGTTCTGGCTGAGGACATGAGTCACAGTTACTTTAACATCGAAACAAAATATGGCTACCTAGTGCTCCTCAATTAGGTAATTGGTTTAGCATGTCCTCTGGTAGAAGTGTTTCAGCAGGGGTAGGCAAGTTTGATTAATGCTCACAAAAATCTTTAATGTGATCCTACTCGTAGTAATTTTCCAGATACATGCTTCTTGGGTACATTGCTAAATTCTTCTGTGTTAGCAATCCACATGTTATTTATGGTTGGGAGAGGTGATTTTGTTACAAACCATTTGGGAAACAGAAAATTAAATCATGATTTTAAGAAATGGATTCCGGCTCAATCAGTCAAATTGCTGTGTAATGGCAGAATAGACAAAATAATTGTTCGTCAGGGCAAATTTGAAGTGATTACATTTCCAAGTATACTTCTGTTTGTTATGACGCGGAGTTTGGTTTTATTTGTTCAGCTTAAAGTACACGTCAGTATCATGAAGGCAACCACTCTTGAAATTAGCAAGTAACATTTTTTAAACTAATGTCTTATGTCAGCTTTGCTTTTGGTGTCCCTGAAGAGAAGTAAAATAAGTAAAAATCTTCTTATTTTGAAGCTTTTCCTCTTTGTGCTTTCTCTGTGTCTTGCCAAGCGTGCTTTTTTGACCACAATATGTTCAGGCTTCTGTGCTTTGTATTGAAATCTCTGAATGCTTTGAATTGAAACAATTTTTCACCCAAGGATTTTGAGTTCTCTTTTTTCATTTGCTTGTTTTTATGAAAGGATTTGGACTCCCGGAGCATCTGCTTGGGACTATTCTTGTTTAGTGTGAACAAAAAGAGGATGTTGTATTAAGTCAGATGTAAGCAAATCCAAGATTACTTCTCTCACCTGGGAGACTGTTAAGACATTTTTGATTTTGCTCTGAAGTTGATGATTGCAGGTCACTATGGAAACTGCAGAACCTGAAGAATGGGTTTATACGTAGTGCTAGAGTCAAAACGTGGCATATCAGTTCATCATCTTGAAATAGGAGATATGAAAATACGGGGTTTCAGCTGTAAAGTGTTGTCACAATAACACCATTTCATTCTCCTAATTATTAAATTTGAAATAGCATTTCATTTACTGTGCCAAAGCTATTTTTTGAGGAACTCCGTAGTGATTGGGAATCTGAATGCTGGATTGTAGCCTGGGGGTCAAAAGCAGGTTAACAGGTCCTGCAGCTTGTTGCTGGTGTGATATTACCTGGGTTTGATGACTTAATCTTTCTTAACAGGTCATGAAGAGTTTGCTAAATTAAGTTAATTACAAGAGAGAAGGGACACATTATAAATCAAGGACTAAGTATGCGAGACACCAGTGGTATTTGAAATAAAAAACATTAAATTGAAAATTTATTGAGTGTTTAGATGTTAACATTTCGGTAGAGAATAGGCTATTTTACTAACAGCAAGTTATAGTTACTGCTGCTGTAATTTCTTTACCACCCTTCCTAACCCCAAATAGAAAACTTTTTAATGCAGGTGTATTAAAAATGGTTGAGAGTTTCATTTGACTTAAGACCAACCTACTCAATAAATCCCCTGTGTTAGATATGGCTGGTGAGTGATGGGAATTGTCAGTACAGTTAGAAAACCCTTTTGAGGTCAGCGTGGGGTGATGAACATCTCCTACCCTTCTACTAGGCTGCATGTGCTTAGGGTATCTAAAACCATAAGTAATATTTATTAAGCTGTATCTTCCTTTGTTACCAAGACAGACTTTATTTCAAATGCTCGCTGAAATTGCTGTTGTAATAGCAGGTTGCAATCAAAGACAAGGTCATTACTCACAGTTACTTTGAACCATAAAATGTAATTATATGATGAATGGATTATTTTATAGTAGATTTTTTCCATCTCGGTACGACAAAAATAGAAAATAGATTAACTTAAATAATGGGTCCATGTCTTGCTACTATTTAAATTATGAATATAATGTGATTTGGATCACACAAAAAATTCAAGTCTGAAATAAAAACTATGTTAAACTCTACAGAGCAAACAAAACAACAGAAAGATCTCTATTCAGATAAATGTTAAATTTCAAAGTGGAATATTTGTTTGTGCTGCATATTCAAATTCAGAACAAATGAGTGAAATTAAATAATTTTGTTGTATTTTTCATTACTTATTAGAGGAAGGCTGGTATAGCTTATAGTCTAGTAAAAATGCTGAGTTTTAGAGAAACAATAAAGAGGCTGTGCTTTTTGGGTATGTAGTAGAGTAAATTTTTGGTACTTAATATTTAGAACTGTGACTTGAGCAGGATTTGTGCACAGAATTTCTGATATATGACAATCCTTTTTTGTTGTTATTTAGTTTGCAGGTCGCAGTAAGAAAGAAACTAAATACTCTTTGAAGGCAGTGGAAGACATGCTGGAGACCCTGCAAATCACTCAGTCTTAGGTTGGCAGAGAGATCCGATATTAAATTTTCCAATTCTTTGATCAACCTGTAATGACATATGGGTTATGTTACTCTAGTGCTGTTAAAAGTTAATTTTGTATTGATTAACATGCTATCTAAAGTAATGTTTTATGAAAAGTAAAATGCCTATTTATTGCTGCTATGAAAAATATGATGAATAGCCACTGAAATGAATAACTTATCCATGAAGACAACGTAAAGAAATGACGTGCTGCACATCAGTCTCTTCAGATTTTTGTATTTACAGTAACTGCTTTTAAGCCATAATTTGGAGAAATAAACTTGTTGAATGATTAAAAAAAAATGACAGTCGTTTATTTGACTTGCAAATGGAAATTACAAATTTATATATGTAGACGAGTAACGTATGTTTGAAGTTTTTATCTTATTTGCATACTTAAAAACATGCTACAGATGTACACTTTTTGATAAATATTTACCATACAGCAAGGAGCAAGTATGAATACACTTTATTAGAGAACAAGTTGCTGTTAATGGTTTATTACAGAGTTGATATCCAGTATTGTAGAAATGGAGAAAACTTATTGATGTACTTTGCTTCAGAGGGACTCTTGTACTGGCTTAAGGCCAAAGACATTCTTCTCTGTGGCTGTGTGGGCAAATGCTTCTGTGTCCACGTAGTTCTCCAACCAGTATGTGCATGTGCACTTTTTTTATTCCTTCTGTGTGTCCTTTGTTGCACATATGTTCCGTATCATGAGTCAAAACCGTCTGACCGCTGGGCTGTGTGCTGGTCTGTACTAGCCCTGTCCCTGCAGTATGGGAGCCCCTTGGCCCGGGTGCCAGCCTTGGTGTGTTGGCTTCTCCTCAGGAACCAGCGGTGGGGCACTGGGAGGATGAGCATTCGACTGCCCTCTACTTAATGGGGGATAAAACTGTTCTTATGCCATTACCATGAGGTATCTAATGCACTGTAAATCTGTACTGTAATTTGTCTTTAGGGGCCTGCTTATTTACTCCGATAATTAGTCAAATACCCTAATTTGTGAATTTTGTGGGTTTGATCATTCTGGGTGTTGTTGGATGTGTACTGCAGCAATTCAGTTGCACAGCTGTCGTTTCATTTACTACGGCTTCAATAAGATTGCAAAACAGCAGCAACATACCCTTGACAAATCCTAACAAAAATATTGCAATGTCATTTTCATGACTGTTACCACCATCCAAGCTGACTTGAATTTCAGGTTTTTTACTGCCTACTCCATATAGATGGGTAGGCTAAAGGCTATGTATTAAAATGCTCTTTCTGTGACCCTGGAGTTGATGTAATAAAACAAAGCTGAGCTCTTGTTTAAAAACAAAACAGCAACAAAATCTTCCCTTGTGAGTTCAAAGCCTGAAAGTGTTTATAACTGAACTGGTTGTTGCATGAGGCTGAGCCTTTAGGAAACATGTAAGATCTCATTCCCATTATCCACGAGGCAGGTTGGAGTATGATAGTGCGACAGGGTGGGTGCTACGCCCTGAGAATTAATTGTGTGTGGAATCTTGCATTAACTTAATTCAGCATTGTTGAAATATAAAACTGCAAATACCGCGTAGTATTTTATTAAATCACCCAATTCTAACTTGGGCAGACAGTGCACATCGTGCGCATCCTCTTACAGTGGGAATTCATAAATTGGCCTCAGAACAGTATTCACAGACTGACTATGTATGTTTCAGGTGGAAAACTGAGAAAATTCCATAGGTGATCCTATGTATTTCTGTTCAGATTTATAGTCTTTTACTGTGTGAGTGTGCCATCTAGAGTTTTAAACCCTCATGAGTCTGTCTTTTACCTACATCTCAAATAATGCGGTTGCATTATAAAATTAAAAATGGTGGGAAGCTGTACTGTGGACTAAAATTATTTAGCAGTGCATAACGTTTTACCTCCAGGGTGTTAAAAACCAGCAGTGCAATATCTTGTGCAGCAGGCGTCTGTGCTGCTGGGAAGTGTCATATATAATGGTTTATTCAGAGGCAACTTTTAACATAACAGTGTCAGACTTGGGCATAGAGTATATCCGTTTCACTGTAAGGAACTTAATTCTGTTTCTTGTTTTCAGTGATTTGATGACAAATTTCATCTCACTTGGCTGCTTAGAACCTTCTAGCTTTCACTACTGCTTAGTGTCTTTTTGAAATTACTGTTTAGCACTCTGATTTGTGCTTATATTTTGGCGTAATTCCCACATAGTAAAGCTTATTAAATGACCTAGCAAATATTCCTGACAAATTTGTATTTAATTCCAAGATAAAATAAATTACTCCTATGGAAATGCATGGGCAGTCTTTGATAGAATTACTGAGCTGCAGCAATGGAAATTCAAGGCTTTTCCTGTATTCAAATGAAAAAAAAAATATCTAAAAATCTTGTACCTGTATGAAATGTAACTGTATGAAGTGCCCTGCAGTCGCAGCAAGCAAAGGGTGCAGAAGAGAAGCTGCGGTCTAATGTGATCTTTATAAAAGTAATTTTCCAGTTCTAGTAAATGATTTTGTAATATGTCGCTGACTCTGTCTTGGATTAAAGAATAGGTTTTCAAAGAATGGTTACTTAGTTAACAAATGAACTTGATTATGTTCTGTATTGTACTCTGACAGTGACAAATGCTACACAAAAAATACTAATATCAAGCCTGTAGTCTCCTCCTTCCAAAATAAAAGGCTGTGCTTTCATATTGTTTCATTTGACCGCAAAAACCTGAGGCCTTTGCAGAGCCAAGCTGCGTAGCCATGACTTGCGTCTTTATGTTTTGCAGCCATGCTTTGATAAAAGGCTCGATAGGGAGAGCTTAGTGTCCTCTATTGATGTAAAGGTCATTGAAGAACCAGCAAACCCTCCTATTCTGCCTTTGTCATACAAGTTACTGGTGAGTTCTTCGCAACCTTTTGTCCAAATGTTATACAATTGGCATTCTGTGGCTGCAAAAAGCACATCTTGTTTAGAATATATCCCTAAATCTCTTCAGTTCAGTGCCCGGAATATCTTGCAGTTGCTATTGGAAACTCTGTTATTAGTCAACGGAGGACTTCCTCTTGGCAGCGCTGTATTTGTGATGGCATCTGTGTTTGCTAGTCGCTGCATTTACAGTGGAACTTGTGTTTCAGCCAGCTTTAGAAGGGAGGGGAAAAGGAAAGCAAATTAAACTTGACTTACTGGCATGAATTTGTTAGCTTCTTGTTACTTGCACCCTCATCTTCCAAGAACACCAACTGTAGCTGTAGTCAGGTTTGCAATAATAATTCTTCTGCTTGTAACTCAAGAGCTTCCATATATTCAGCTCTAAAACCAACACTCCATTAAAATCTAAACCATACAGATTCCAGCGAAACAGTGCCCTGCAGAGCGCACGTACCCCAGTGTGCAGGGAAGGGACAGATCTCCCACCCCCCCCCCCCAAGCTGGTGTCAGAGTGGAGGAGCATTAGAACATTTCTTGAATGTGTTTTCATCTAGAAAACTAATACTGCTTAATATGTCTCAAAATACTGCTGATTACTTGCATTGCTCAGTCCATGAATAGAATTTTAGGACTAACTTTTGCTTAACTGCAGATACTGGAGTCTACATGGATAGTAAAGTACTGGAAATTAGTCATTAGTCTTACCTGGAATGACTCTGCACCCTCACAGAACTGTATCCTGTTGATGGGCACCAGCTGGAAGTTGGATTCAACCCAGAGATTAGTTTTCAGAAGTAAATGGTCATTAATCTTCCTGCCTCTTAAAAAAAACACCCAGCCAAACAAAAAAAACCAAACCCATCAAACCAATCAAAAATACCCAACAACAAAAAAACAGCCCAAAAAACCCCAAGCACCACCCCATGAAAAACCCAACCCTCCCAAAAACTGCCTCGGGTAGAGAAGGTTGTCTTTCAGCTGGTGGATGTGAGATGGAAAACCTTTATTGGTGTACTTCAGAACTGAATTTATTCTGTTCCGTGATGAGGAAATCCCCCAGTAAAGCCGTGCAATCCTTTTAATTTGTGTCTAGAAGGAAGAGAGGCTGGAGAGCAGCACCGAGGCCTGTTCAACCCATATGCCATGTTGGGACGTCCTATGGCAGGTTACCAGGACAATGCCATTTGTCTGCAGTTAGGAGCCCAGAGGTGAGTGTTCCTGGTGTGCAGGCACCAGGGCAGCTGAGAAGGGCTACGTGAGGCTGGACCAGCCCAGCCCGGAGCCTACAAAGGAGGTGCTCAGATAGGTGTGCTTGGAGACCCCACAGGGTGTATCAGTCCTCACCCGGCTGTTGGTAGGGCTGCACAATGAGAACCTGCCTGCTGGTTTTGGCCCTGCTAGAGCCTGTCCTCTGCGTTTCACTTTTCTCCCCTCGGCCTCTGCATGGCAGGAGTGTTGCAGAAGATTGGTGCTGATGTGGTGGCCAACTGGTTTCACTGGGGCTGGGCGTGGAGGGGAGTGTATGGCTGGGTCAGTTGCCGGGTTGGTCCTGGGTCTGTGAAGGTTTTGCACACTCTTAGCTTCAGCGCACTCAATTGCCAGCGCACACCTAAGGGTCAGCGTGTAAGCCTTTGCCTTGGACTGAAGGACATGAGACCACCAACCTGTCCTATTAAACATCTACTGTCTGCTGAGCTCCTTTGTGGGTGCTTGAATGAGAATGCCAGAGGGTGGATTTTGTCCCTGCTGAACGCCGTGCAAATGTATGGAAACATCTACTACTCACGGTGTCACAGTGACTGCAGTTCAGTCCTCGCCGTCACTGGGCCTTTGTGTGTGAAGGCACGGGGTGAGTAACTCGGGGAAAACACTTCCAGATGGGAGGTCCTGTATCCAGGGTTAAGGGGGTGGCTGGAGGGAGGAAGAGCCACCTTCTCAGCTTGCCTGAGTCCACACAGGTCCCGTAGGTACCTTCACTGATAGAATGTGCTGGTTTGTGTTGGGTACATAATGAGAGGCGTAAGGCTGCGTTTTAAAAAAAAAAAATACCTGAAATTGCAGTGCAAAAATATTTTTCTCCTCATCCCTGTGTATTTTCAGTGTGACCTTGCTGATGTTAGGGCTCCTCGTGCCGTTTGGCTAGCGCGTAGCCATCTGCCTCAGGGCTACCAGGGGAGAAAGACGCCTTTAGAGCCACTGCTCACGTGGGAGATGTTCCTGATGGGCTTCCATCACGGTGTGTCGTGACCGGTTTGCATCGGCCATGGAAGCACTGCTTGTCCCGCAGAGCTTAAATAGCATTCCTCTTAGGAGCAAGGCTCATTTTCTCTAAAGATTGAAAGATCTTTTCCCAAATTTATACAGTTTTTCTGCAGCAAGCTTTTAGG